ACTTTTGTTCATTGCGACGTATGATGGGAGCTTCTCGTTGGATGGCCGTCACTATCTTGGGATTTGCCGAAATTGTGACACCAAACCTGAAAAAACCTTGCACCAATATTTCAAGAATCGCAATCCGATAGTTGGCTACATTTTCAAATATTTATTATTAGCACCGCCAGCGTCTAAATTGAGATCGTGCAGCAATTTTTGAATTTGGCTGTAACGAATTCCGGGTGGAATCGGTTTCGGCTGAAATCGAATTATAGACTTGAATTTAAGCACAATTCAACTTTCTCAAGCTGCTTCTCGTTGGGAACGCGTTGATATGGAAGCAATCTAATTGTCTCGAGTGCGAAGAACATCACCTCGCGTTTCTGAATTCGGTCTTCCGATTGGCGAGAGATTGTCCAATCGCTTACCTTGTCACCGTCAATTAATGCACGTCCCGCCGGCAGATTTTCATTGAACGGACCACTTACGTTGAGAACACGGACCAGATAGTCAATAAGGGTTATTTGATTTCCTGAAACTTCGATTCAAATCAATTTCCGATATCTCAATATCGAAAATACCGTCGTATTCGAATTTGACCTCGGACATTGGGAATCTGGTTAGCCCGACGCAGGTGTACGACTTTTTGTCGTAAGTTGGTTCGAATTTCAGACCTTCAAAACTTGTTTGACTGAAAATTATTCGAATGCTAACTACCTTTCACGTAATGATGCATTTTCGAGAACAAATTGCTGGTAGTTGCTCTTTCGTTTTCATTTTTAATCGAATTCCAATCCAAATGAATATTTCGGCCAAAAAAAGCTTGAATGCATTCAGCAAATGTCTGCGTCTTGAAAAATGTTCCAGTTTTTGCTTAAAACGTTAAAATTATCCACTGTGTGTCTTGTAGCCATCGTACCATCGAGAATGAGCGCCGGCGTCGTGTCGCCATCATTCCGGACCCTTGCATTCGGACATCCTTCGATGAACATGATGCTTTTATTCGCGCCATCGCGTTCTTCCTGCCCATTCCGTTTGTCACGCGCTGGTCTTGACATGTCGAATACGCAGCCATTTCCGAACACCTGAACGAATACAAATCATCAAATGCCTTCTCCCATACCGTTAGTCCGCGGTCGCGAGCCGATTGGCTGGTAAGAAGATTCAGAAAGTTGGTCACAATCTTGCTCGTTTCTGCCACATTTTTCGGAATTTCGTTGGAAAAATCCGAAATATCAAAATAAGGGATGCTCGCGTTCGGCACGATCGTAACCATGAACTCGCTCGGATTTGAGTGGCGAATCAGATTTTGGATGGATTTTGGAAGGTCGCCGACGGCCACTGACATCTGCATGGTTTTCACGGAATCGAATGCGTCGATTCTGTTTGACGTGTAGAGCGAGCTGGCGCAGTCGTAAACTCGGGCAGTGCCATCTTTGATGACTCGATGTGTGTCGAGGGCCTTCCATAAGACTGCCTGACAAATTTTGTGTCTTTCTGTAGCCAGACAGCTGCAACAATTTAATCGATATTCTTCGATCTGATTGACATGAGTCATTAAACAAATATTGTTATGAAATCGACTTTTCGAGAAAAAATCAACATTTCACTTACTCGTCTGTTTTGCGTCCAATTAAAGACGCCGTGAATGGTTTTTCGCGTTTCTGCGAACCTTCGTACCGGATGTTGACTCCGTATACCTCGATTCCAACATCATATCTGTATACGATTGTGTTTTTCTCGATTTGAATCGACCAGAAGTTGGTGATCACATCGACCTGAAATCAGATTTAACTTCAAATCTAATATCTCTTTTGTTTTAGAAAATCAGATCAATTGATTTGGAAGTTCAAGATCAAATTGCTCACCGTTCTTGCGTTCTTAATTGTCGCCGGCGCCAGCTTGCCTGTGACTTCGCAACTCTTCAAAACTCTGTCTTGGCTCGGCGATTCGGCAGTGGAAATTCGAATTTCCTTCAATTGCTTGTTCAATGAATGCATTTCTTCTGGAATTTGAAACACTGTAATGTGAATGAAGGCAGGCGAATCTATGGGAAGAAGGAAGGACTTCGGCAGAGTTGTGACGACTGCAATCACGCCTACTACAATGACGTGTCGTAATGTGGGTATTGCTTATATTAGCAATCGAGAATATTAGCAAATATTAGCAATATTAGCAATTTAGCAAATATTAGCTTATATTAGCAATCGTTAACATGAGCAATGAGGAGAGAGAGTGAGAGGAATAGACGACGAGGGGGAAATAGAGTTGTGCATTATCAACTTTTCGAGAAACGTCGACAATACAAAATTTTGTGATTGTGAAAGACAACTATTGCTCATTTTATACGTTCAATTTTATGGGATGATTCAATTAAATTGGTGTTTCGGCGATTTTTTCGAATTTAATTTAATAATTCAAATGCGAAATAATTATTGCTGCAATTTTTGTCGCATCGTTATATTTCGACAATTTTATTGCTTTCCGATGGGCCCCCAACATTTTTAGCAATGTATATTCTCAACAGAAGCAAATGAAGTGAATGAAGAACAAAAAAATGATTGACAACTTCTGGGCGAGAAAAGCACAATTGTAAACCAATATGCTGTTGATATCAAGCTATGATGATTCTAGAGATTGAGAGCCGTTCGCAAATCAGCTCCAATTATTTTAGCACGATGCTTGAATGTTCTCCAAATCGTGTTCTTACTAACATCAAGGTTGAGCTCGTTTTTGATGTGAGAGACCTTCAGTTCGACCATCCAGCCATTTTCCAAGAACGCATTGAGGCCTTTTCGACATCGGTGAGCAACCTCGTGGCATGTTCAAATATAGATAAAAAACAAAGAAAAACAAAGAAAAAATTTTACAGTACCATATTTAAAGGTGTTTTTTTAAAAGTAATTATTATACTTAATACTATGTTGCTGAAATTACAACCTCGCATCTTCTGGGCATTGACTCGAGCAAGTTGGTGAGTATACGTTATCTTGCTGGAAAATCCACCCGGGACCTAACTTGGGCAGCATTTCTTGTTCAAGAAGGCCCTTGTACATGAATCGATCCATAATTCCATTTACAAGAATCGGAAGACCGATCCATTGCACATAAAAGCAGCCTCACATCATGAGAGCCGTAGCAAACGACATTAAAAAAATTCAATTCGATATAACCTGATTTAATTTCCATCTTTCAAAATTTCTACTATATTTGTGGATGGACACGAAAAAATTCCAATGTGAAGTCTAGCCGATACTTTTGCTTTTGACGGTCAAATGTGCCAAAGAGCAATGTGAAAATGAAGAAGAAAACACGAAATAAGGGTGCTCGAATTATGGTAATGTAAAGGAAAAACCCATCAGGTTCTATCACAAAAACTCAATCAAAATACATCAGCTCCATCGGAAGCAGTGGGCGACCGGTAGCTGATGTAATCCATATCAATCCATTATTAAATCCTTTATTAAATTCTTTAATTGTAACAGCACCATATATAAACCCCCATAACCATCAATCTAGGCCCTTTTCTTTCCTTCATGAGTCGCATATGTCGGCTCCGATTTTTATCAACTCTCACCATTATGATCCACCGCTTAATTGTTTGTAATTTCCCCACTTCATCGAAGAAATAAACCAGTCTTTTCTTCGAAGCGTTATTAACTTCTAACGCATATAAAAGTGAGGGAAATAAAGGGAAGTGCCGCCCTACCACTATATGACGGCAGCTTAACCCCTTACTGTAATGATAGCTAAAATTTACCTTGTATTTATTCTCTTAACTTTCTGATAATTCAATTTGTTATTTGTATATAAACAGATTTTCACATATTTTTGCACCACCAATGTGAATAAGCCGAACGAGATGATCATCGAGTTCATGAGGCTATTCACCCATTTGTGTGAGTATACTAAACTATACCATATATGCTATATAGTTAGCATAGCTTACTAGAGCAACAGAATCAAATACATTGTCAAGTCTTTGTTGAAAACCATTAAAAAATGGATAAGCGTTGAGGAGAAGCCAAAAAAACACGATACATGTATTGGTATATTGGATAGACGAATTGCTATAATTGGCCAATTAGTGGGTGTAATTAAGAATGGAGTAGGAGGGAGCCTCTTTGTCATCCTTGCGCGATCTGATAAAAAGAATCGAATATAAGATAATTAGATTTGAGGGAGGAACGATTTGATTCAGAAGCTGTCGGTTTGATGTCGAGTCCATTTTTACAGCTCTCAGGTATTCGAGGTAGTTTGCTCATTTTTTGAAATTCAAGTTTAATGGCAAAATTTTTTAGAAGTAATTATTGGGTTTACTGCAAAGATCGCCATTTTTTTGTATTTGTCAACAATTTTTATTTTATTTGGTTCAAATTTGGTTCGCCAAGACCCATTGTGGCTGTAGTGCGTTTTCCAAAAAAGAATGACGATTGGATGATTTGCATAATTTTCGGATCCGATTTGTTTTAATTTTTCGATTCAAATCGCATTGGAGCAATGAGAAATCGGATCCAGTCGATTTTGGATCCGATTGGTTTTGAGATGCCAGAGTAATCGCAAGAAATCTCACTCTGCTCAGAATGATTCGAAAATTCATTTTTTTATTTTTTTTTCTAATAAATTCATTTCAGTCTTGCGACATCAAATGACGAATTGAATTCATCGACGCTACCACCAGGAAACAATGGCGATCGTCGACTACGATAGCATTGCCAATTATGGTACGCAAAGTGACGAAAGCCCGATGAGATTAGAAAAGAAATTGTAATTTATTAGTTTTATTCGATTTCAAATAAGAAATTTATTTCAATCTTCAAAATTATCAACATTTCGAGTATTTTTTGGTCTCGTCCTTTCGAAAATCTGAACAATTTCACGACAACCTCAGAAAATTTGTCTTAAATTGAAAAAAAAAGATTTAAGCTAATCGGAAAAATAGCTCTATAAATGTGAGAAAAATTCAATTATTAAAAGTTTTCAGTAAAATGGTCTCGTCGCGATGCACCGTAAACGTGCTATTGCGCTCCAGCGGCCTTGCACAGCAGGCGCATCGTCGGCAAGACGTCGTCGCATGCGTCCAAGTCGTCGGACGATCGAAGGCCGCTTCCGAGGTGCTGCGTATCGGGTTCTCCTGAAGCACACGGAACCTCTTGGCACCAAGCGTTTAGTGGTCCCTCAACTTCGCATTTCTTTCAGCTTCTTCCTTGAAAACATAAAACAAAATAAGACAATCTCCCAAAAAGTTCACCTTTTTGAACGCGGCTTCCTTCTCGTGCATCTCGTGATCGTAGATTCTTCTCGTCAGCTTTTCGTCGCAATCGATCCATATAATCGTCTTCGGCTCGACATTGCGCACATATTTCGCGACCGTTGTAGTCGTCCGACGACAATAAATGAGAATGAGAATCGCGGATTGCCTGAAAATCGTTGCAGTGTTTCAGCGAGACTGGAAATTCTACGAATTAGATTGCTGGAAATTTCTCGGATCCGATTGAACTTCAAAGTTCTTCAAATTCTCTTTTTCTGTTCCCCATTCCGAGGTTGACTGATTTAGAAGAATTAAATTCAACGAAAAAAACTGATGCTGATTCTCAATGAATCGAGATTTGTTAGAATTTGCGAATCTTTCCCCCCCCCCCCCACCCCAATTTTCAGTTCGATTTGACAAGCGCGCTCTCTACAAGAGTGTCACTATAAAAGGCCGGCGAGATGGACAATTTTGTCAGTTCTCGCAGCTCTCCGAGTTGCGTGCGAGCCGCATAACCTGCGGGCTCGTCGTGGAAAAGAATCCATTGGGTAGGTCGCATTCATCGCACTTCTTCGAAATCATTGCAGGCAACTTTTGGATCAAATGGATCGAATCGAAAGCGACGGCGAAACAGCGAGGAGGAGGAAGAGCAAAAGCGTCGGGTATTTCGTATCTTTTGGCAGAGCCTTGTTTTTTTTTTACTTTTTTCTTTTTTACCAGTCGTACCGCTTATGACTCTCCCCCTCTATATATATATGTATATATATCGCGCATGGATGACAAAGAGGCTCCCTCCTACTCCATTCTTAATTACCCCCACTAATTGGCCAATTATAGCAATTCGTCTATCCAACCAATACATGTATCGTGTTTTTTTGGCTTCTCCTCAACGCTTATCCATTTTTTAATGGTTTTCAACAAAGACTTGACAATGTATTTGATTCTGTTGCTCTAGTAAGCTATGCTAACTATATAGCATATATGGTATAGTTTAGTATACTCACACAAATGGGTGAATAGCCTCATGAACTCGATGATCATCTCGTTCGGCTTATTCACATTGGTGGTGCAAAAATATGTGAAAATCTGTTTATATACAAATAACAAATTGAATTATCAGAAAGTTAAGAGAATAAATACAAGGTAAATTTTAGCTATCATTACAGTAAGGGGGTTAAGCTGCCGTCATATAGTGGTAGGGCGGCACTTCCCTTTATTTCCCTCACTTTTATATGCGTTAGAAGTTAATAACGCTTCGAAGAAAAGACTGGTTTATTTCTTCGATGAAGTGGGGAAATTACAAACAATTAAGCGGTGGATCATAATGGTGAGAGTTGATAAAAATCGGAGCCGACATATGCGACTCATGAAGGAAAGAAAAGGGCCTAGATTGATGGTTATGGGGGTTTATATATGGTGCTGTTACAATTAAAGAATTTAATAAAGGATTTAATAATGGATTGATATGGATTACATCAGCTACCGGTCGCCCACTGCTTCCGATGGAGCTGATGTATTTTGATTGAGTTTTTGTGATAGAACCTGATGGGTTTTTCCTTTACATTACCATAATTCGAGCACCCTTATTTCGTGTTTTCTTCTTCATTTTCACATTGCTCTTTGGCACATTTGACCGTCAAAAGCAAAAGTATCGGCTAGACTTCACATTGGAATTTTTTCGTGTCCATCCACAAATATAGTAGAAATTTTGAAAGATGGAAATTAAATCAGGTTATATCGAATTGAATTTTTTTAATGTCGTTTGCTACGGCTCTCATGATGTGAGGCTGCTTTTATGTGCAATGGATCGGTCTTCCGATTCTTGTAAATGGAATTATGGATCGATTCATGTACAAGGGCCTTCTTGAACAAGAAATGCTGCCCAAGTTAGGTCCCGGGTGGATTTTCCAGCAAGATAACGTATACTCACCAACTTGCTCGAGTCAATGCCCAGAAGATGCGAGGTTGTAATTTCAGCAACATAGTATTAAGTATAATAATTACTTTTAAAAAAACACCTTTAAATATGGTACTGTAAAATTTTTTCTTTGTTTTTCTTTGTTTTTTATCTATATTTGAACATGCCACGAGGTTGCTCACCGATGTCGAAAAGGCCTCAATGCGTTCTTGGAAAATGGCTGGATGGTCGAACTGAAGGTCTCTCACATCAAAAACGAGCTCAACCTTGATGTTAGTAAGAACACGATTTGGAGAACATTCAAGCATCGTGCTAAAATAATTGGAGCTGATTTGCGAACGGCTCTCAATCTCTAGAATCATCATAGCTTGATATCAACAGCATATTGGTTTACAATTGTGCTTTTCTCGCCCAGAAGTTGTCAATCATTTTTTTGTTCTTCATTCACTTCATTTGCTTCTGTTGAGAATATACATTGCTAAAAATGTTGGGGGCCCATCGGAAAGCAATAAAATTGTCGAAATATAACGATGCGACAAAAATTGCAGCAATAATTATTTCGCATTTGAATTATTAAATTAAATTCGAAAAAATCGCCGAAACACCAATTTAATTGAATCATCCCATAAAATTGAACGTATAAAATGAGCAATAGTTGTCTTTCACAATCACAAAATTTTGTATTGTCGACGTTTCTCGAAAAGTTGATAATGCACAACTCTATTTCCCCCTCTCGTCGTCTATTCCTCTCACTCTCTCTCCTCATTGCTCATGTTAACGATTGCTAATATAAGCTAATATTTGCTAAATTGCTAATATTGCTAATATTTGCTAATATTCTCGATTGCTAATATAAGCAATACCCACATTACGACACGTCATTATAGTAGGCGTTGTGTGATTGCGGTCGTCACAACTCTGCCGAAGTCCTTCCTTCTTCCCATAGATTCGCCTGCCTTCATTCACATTACAGTGTTTCAAATTCCAGAAGAAATGCATTCATTGAACAAGCAATTGAAGGAAATTCGAATTTCCACTGCCGAATCGCCGAGCCAAGACAGAGTTTTGAAGAGTTGCGAAGTTACAGACAAGCTGGCGCCGGCGACAATTAAGAACGCAAGCAATTTGATCTTGAATTTCCAAATCAATTGATCTGATTTTCTAAAACAAAAGAGATATTAGATTTGAAGTTAAATCTGATTTCAGGTCGATGTGATCACCAACTTCTGGTCGATTCAAATCGAGAAAAACACAATCGTATACAGATATGATGTTGGAATCGAGGTATACGGAGTCAACATCCGGTACGAAGGTTCGCAGAAACGCGAAAAACCATTCACGGCGTCTTTAATTGGACGCAAAACAGACGAGTAAGTGAAATGTTGATTTTTTCTCGAAAAGTCGATTTCATAACAATATTTGTTTAATGACTCATGTCAATCAGATCGAAGAATATCGATTAAATTGTTGCAGCTGTCTGGCTACAGAAAGACACAAAATTTGTCAGGCAGTCTTATGGAAGGCCCTCGACACACATCGAGTCATCAAAGATGGCACTGCCCGAGTTTACGACTGCGCCAGCTCGCTCTACACGTCAAACAGAATCGACGCATTCGATTCCGTGAAAACCATGCAGATGTCAGTGGCCGTCGGCGACCTTCCAAAATCCATCCAAAATCTGATTCGCCACTCAAATCCGAGCGAGTTCATGGTTACGATCGTGCCGAACGCGAGCATCCCTTATTTTGATATTTCGGATTTTTCCAATGAAATTCCGAAAAATGTGGCAGAAACGAGCAAGATTGTGACCAACTTTCTGAATCTTCTTACCAGCCAATCGGCTCGCGACCGCGGACTAACGGTATGGGAGAAGGCATTTGATGATTTGTATTCGTTCAGGTGTTCGGAAATGGCTGCGTATTCGACATGTCAAGACCAGCGCGTGACAAACGGAATGGGCAGGAAGAACGCGATGGCGCGAATAAAAGCATCAAGTTCATCGAAGGATGTCCGAATGCAAGGGTCCGGAATGATGGCGACACGACGCCGGCGCTCATTCTCGATGGTACGATGGCTACAAGACACACAGTGGATAATTATAACGTTTTAAGCAAAAACTGGAACATTTTTCAAGACGCAGACATTTGCTGAATGCATTCAAGCTTTTTTTGGCCGAAATATTCATTTGGATTGGAATTCGATTAAAAATGAAAACGAAAGAGCAACTACCAGCAATTTGTTCTCGAAAATGCATCATTACGTGAAAGGTAGTTAGCATTCGAATAATTTTCAGTCAAACAAGTTTTGAAGGTCTGAAATTCGAACCAACTTACGACAAAAAGTCGTACACCTGCGTCGGGCTAACCAGATTCCCAATGTCCGAGGTCAAATTCGAATACGACGGTATTTTCGATATTGAGATATCGGAAATTGATTTGAATCGAAGTTTCAGGAAATCAAATAACCCTTATTGACTATTTGGTCCGTGTTCTCAACGTAAGTGGTCCGTTCAATGAAAATCTGCCGGCGGGACGTGCATTAATTGACGGTGACAAGGTAAGCGATTGGACAATCTCTCGCCAATCGGAAGACCGAATTCAGAAACGCGAGGTGATGTTCTTCGCACTCGAGACAATTAGATTGCTTCCATATCAACGCGTTCCCAACGAGAAGCAGCTTGAGAAAGTTGAATTGTGCTTAAATTCAAGTCTATAATTCGATTTCAGCCGAAACCGATTCCACCCGGAATTCGTTACAGCCAAATTCAAAAATTGCTGCACGATCTCAATTTAGACGCTGGCGGTGCTAATAATAAATATTTGAAAATGTAGCCAACTATCGGATTGCGATTCTTGAAATATTGGTGCAAGGTTTTTTCAGGTTTGGTGTCACAATTTCGGCAAATCCCAAGATAGTGACGGCCATCCAACGAGAAGCTCCCATCATACGTCGCAATGAACAAAAGTTTGTTCGTGGGGCTTCTTGTTCCACTATCGTTGTGGCTCATGATAATCAGAAAAGTGTTGCCAAGTGAGTGAATTTCAGAAGAATATCCCTTCCATGTTTTTTCAGCGACTGCTTGAATTCGCTCAGCGATGGCTGCAAACGGACAGGCATTTCGGTAGACAAGTGGATCATCGAGGATATAAGTGCTTACAAGTTGGGCACCGATTATTACGAGACCCTCACGCGCGTATGTTGATTTACAATGATTTCTATTCTTTCAACCCGCGACGTTCAGCTGATCACCAAGTGCAGCAAAAAATATAAAATTGGCTTGATCATATTCATCGATGATTTGGACAATAATTCGCACGGTAGGCGACGAGATTGACGACAAGATTTTAGTGATGATTTTAGACGGGCTGAAACTCGTCGAGAGGAAGTTTGTCATTCCATTCCAGCAGCTCACAACGGAGATTGTGCTCGAGTTAACGTGAGTTGAATGCAAACAGAATTGATGGAATTTGATTCAGACAGAAACGTCTTACACTTCAAAACGTAATCCGGAAAATTAACATGAAATTGGGAGGACTGAACTACGAGATCATTCCAGAAATTAGCGGGTAATTTATTTATTTGAGGCACGTATTTTGCGAGAATTTGATATGCAATTTAAAGGCGCGATAAATGGATCTCGAATGAGAATATGCTGATCGTTTCCTACGATGTTGCTCATCCCGGACAAGTGAATACGAATGAATGCGTGATGGTTCCCAGCGTCGTAGGCGTCAGTGTTTTTTTTTTGTAATCGACATTATCCACTCTTCACTTCTTTTCGTTTAGTTCTCATTCAATGGAGCTTCTCATAAGGAAGCGTTTGTTGGCGATTTTCACTATCAGTATCCGAAGAAGGAGCAAGTCGAATCGGGTATTCTCAAGAGAAGAATGAAGTGGATTATCGAGAAGTTTGTGGCCAACCGCAAAAGATATCCTCAGATGATTTTGATAATCCGCGACGGGGTGTCGGAAGGGCAGTATCAAATGGTCCGTTTGCTAGGCTCGTTTCAATCCAATCATTTGTCGGGTGGTCAGGTATTAGATGACGAACTCAACGCGATGAGAACCGCCTGTCAAGAGGTCGTCAATCAGAAGAACCTCAAGAACTGGTCGCCCAAGTTCGCAGTCGTGATTGCCACAAAACGAAATCCAGCAAGATTTTTCAATCGGCTCGATAGCAGTTGGATGCTCCATCGATTGTGTTGTCTATAATTTGAATTCAGAGATCTCAAATGTCAAGCCGCTGACAGTAATTGATCGGGATATTACGAGAGCCAATATCAACGAAGCGTACATCGTGTCGGCCAACGCGTTTCAAGGCACGGCAAACGCTGTCTGTTATCAGTTGCTTCGAAATGAGATCGGCTTTAAGAATATGGACGAGGTAGAGGCACTTATGTTGGCGTTGAGCTACCATCATCAAATTTGCGAAACTCCCATTTCACTGCCCGAGCCGGTTTATCAAGCGGACGAGTGGGCGAAACGAGGAAACGAAATGTGGAATGCATACGGGTAAAAAAATCGAGGTGGTCCGTCGAAGGCATTCAAGTTTCAGTCAGATTCTGAACATCCCGAAAGTCGAAAATCAAAAATGTGCGGACTTTGAATTTATGACAGAAAGACTCGCATATTGGCATTCTCCAATCGGAGCATCGCGAATCAGTGCTTAATCAGTTTCGTCATATTAATTATTTATTTTGTTCATTTTATTCATCGTGTTGTGATATATTGATATTAAAGAAATTAAAATAAAATAATAAGAAAATATATGAGGGGGGTTTTGTTAAAGAATTTTGCAACATAATGATGCAATGGAGACCAGTCTCCTTGGAAAAAAATAATGTAACAAAATAAATAATTACGGCACTCTATAGTCGACGGCCGGTGACTTCTGTACGATGGCAATTTACGGGGTGCGCCTTTCGAAATGGTCTCGTCATATAAAAACGCTTATTTCGGTGTTGTCATGCGAACTGTTTATATCATTTTGATGATTTTGGTATTTCATTGAATTTCTAGCCCAAATTGATAAAGTCGAACCGACCCTTAAAATGCATAATAATAA